CTCTCTTGCCCACTGGTGTAATAGGACAGGAAATTGCACGCCTTGCTTTGCGGAGGAGTTCGAGGGGAGAGAGAGAGAGAGAGATAAGTCCACACTTACATCCGGCTACAAGAGGGGGTGATGGTAATGCGGTACACGCAAGCAGCAGGGAGTCGTTAGGGTTCTGATCAACGACCGGCAAGACGCGTTGGTTTACGCGATGCTGATGCTAATGCTGATTGAGCCGGCGGGATCCATGCGCACAAGTATGAATAGGAACGAAGGAATTCAAGACGAAACTTGCCGGCGGTTGACAGCGAGCGATTTTCGAGGTTGTTTACAGGGTTGCGAGTGTGTGTGTTTTCTTATTTGTTGCAAAGCGGGCGAAAAATTACAGTAAGGGTGCGTGAGTTGGCACGGGGCAGACAGTGAGCTCGCACAGGGTCGGTAAGATCGCACCCCTTTGCGATTTGTAAAAGCAAAGGCTTCGTTTAGAGATTTGATTTAGGTGTTTCACAGGGTTGGTGGGGTGAGTTCGCACCCCAAGTTGCAACGGTTTGCGTATCGTGAGAGTCTCATCTCGCAGTCTTTCTATTGTCGAAGATCCACTGCGTTGCGTAGATCGCATTGTGGCAGTGCACACCTAAAACTGAGGAATTTCTTCATGGTCGGTGCAGTAGTTGGTGTTCAATCGTAGTCTATGCACCAAAACACTCGTACCCCGTCGATGTGATATAGTCAGGATCACACGTGTCGGAGAGATCGAACAAGGGCGTGCGCCATAAAAAAAGCATGACCGAAAACATGCGACACGGGTCGCAAACGAGCGCGCATGTCATCTTGCCGCCGGGGGAACAGAAGAATACCAGGGGGCACACAGATAAGCCCCAGCCCCTACCCCGATAATTGTCGTTGGTAGTGAAGGATACCCCACCGCCCCCCTTGAGAATATTACACTCGTTGCCCGAGGGCTCATGAAAAGTATTAGTTCAAGATATACTGTGGTCGGGATAATGTCAAGGCCGAAAGATTCACAATCCCAGTCGAGCTTCCATGTTGGAATCAGGTAACGCCCCGCCCGGCCGTGAGGTCCCACTCTCTCACCGTGATCAGATCAGGGTCAACATATCCGTCTATGGGTGGTGGTGCCGACAGTAGTACAGTAAGGGGGGGGGCGGGTTGACGGCAAAAACAAATGAGTGTGGACTCAGGAGAGAGAGAAATCGAATTGACAGGAAGCTGGAGGGTTCAGGAGTTGCTCCGGGTCGGACAGAAAACACTTCAGAAAGCATCATACGATTGGCTTCGCTAATATCTAATATCTCGTGCGGGACTACATGGTATAGGGCCGGTCAGCCTCAACAAAATACATTCCAGGAAAATGTCTCGACCCCCCACCAAACTTGCAATGACAAACAGATATTGTGCCCTGTGGTCTTGGATCAAGACAACAGATGCACAGGCTGACATAGCATGTCATCCTGTTGATCTCCCAACACACGCTCACCACGAACACTACAGATAGCGCCCGCACTTAGGATCCTCAATTTAATAGTTTCGGCCGATGCTGGTGTTCTTACAGTACAGAACAGTACTTCCTCTTCTACAAATGGCCGCTACATATATAGGTTGTAGTGTAGAGGTTCGTAACCCGGCACACCGATGGTGCTCAGGTTCTTTGTCCTGAAACACGAGTGCGGGCAATATCTGCAGTACTCAGTAGAAACCGAACACGAACAGGTGTCTTCGTGTCGTGCTACTATCAAGATGCCTCAGGGAGCAGCAAGCACAAGAGCACAGCAGAAGATTAGAGGCATTCTCATCTAGACATACTAAACGAGGTTCATGTTTCCATGTCTAACCTCGGAGAGGCTGGAAACCCCAAGCTTCCTGTTACCAACAACCGCAGCATCATCAGGCACGTACTCTGCAGGAGCGGTGCACCAGCCTTGTGTCAGATCCCCTCCAAACCAGCCATCCGGCATGGAGAAGAACACGTTCTCGTACACGGCATCAGTGTAGTGCCTTGTATTGTAACACACCGTGCGTAAAACACCCTGTCAACAGATGGACCGCTAGCAGGCAGACAGAGGTCCACTGTTAATGGCTGGCATCCTTTGTCCGCCGGCTGACTCCTAGCAGTAGACTCACATTGCCAACCGCACCAACTATCTACACCCTCGCCTCACGACTAACCCTCAACCTAGCCCCTGCTCCCTCTTCTCGCCCCGCCCGACCCTCCCTTTCCTCTCCCCCCTCCCCCACCGCCGCCGCCACGCCCTCCCGCCATTCGTTCGCGTTCAGACATGCGCTTTCGGACCCCGGGGGGTGCCGTGTTTCGACTGATGTGCAGCACGCCGGACTTCATCATGCCCATCGAAGGAGCCGGCCCGAAGCTAAACACACAACAAAGCAAGGGGAAGGCGTGTTTAGTCTCAGGCCAAGCGTACGGGGGTGGGTGGAACTGAGTTGATCACAAAGTCTACCACACGCACCACGCATACAAGAAAACGGGAAAACGAAAATGTTTGCGTAGGGAAAGAAGCACACAGGGTGAGGACGAAGACTATGTTAGATCAAGGAAACCGGCATTGTACGGGGAAGACGAAGAAGAACGAGGTTGAGATTTCTTCTGAGCCAAAAACATGGAAAAGAAGAGACGAGAGTAGAGGGGCCACCCGCGGGTGAGGGGCTGCGTTGTTTTTTTTTCGCGTTCTTTTATCCATAGCACAGCGTACCGTGTCAAGTACTTCGCCCTGCAGGATCGAGGTGGTGGTGGTATTCATAGACGTGTTCAGAAGGAGAGAAGGGTCATATCATACGTCATACGTAATGGTCCCACAGAAGGTACAACGCCACGGGCCGCCCGGGGGATCGCCACTAACATTCGAACTAAATGCTTGCATTCTGCACAAATAACAAAAATGCCGTCACCAGCATCCTTCGATCTCGCTTCGACCCCAAGTCTGCTCACTGGACTGCTTGACGGGCAACAAAGGCCTCTCGAGTGACACACGAAACACCCAGGACCCACCTCGAGCTACCACCTCCTCGTTCACTTCCGCAACCCCTGCTGCTTCCACCACCGCCGCCACCGCGGCCACGAAACGTTTGCGCCGACTTCCTCCTGGCCGACCCAGCGTTGCCAGTGACAACACCAGCCTCAGCCTCCATGGCTACCCGGCGTTCCTCGCGCTGCTTGGCCTTCTTGCGGAGTCCCTGGAGCATCACGTACGGCATCCTCGGGTCTTTCGGAGCCTGCAGATTACGTTCGCGTGGTTCGTCACACACGTGGCGTGATGCGAGAAAGCGAGCAGAGAGTTGTGCGTTTCGGTTCAGCCAAGGTCATGGGGTGCATGTAGTCCGGTGATTTGGTCTCACCAGTTCTACTGGAGGGAGGACAAGAGGAACATATTGGAGCTCGATGGAGCACGAGCGGGCTGGACAAGACTGGCAGGCAAACACGGTTCTTGGGGAACGGGTACAGCGGTGTGTGTGTGTGTATGTGTGTGTGTGTTTTCGTCCTATGGCGACAGTCCCCCCATTTTTCGTGGTGAGACGTGTACTACACTTTTCAGCGTATGTATAGTACTACACTTTTCAGGATATTTTTTCGTACAACTACAACCATCCAGGGTCACACAGGAGGGGGTAAACACCAGGGCTTTTTTCTTCTTTTTGTTTATTTTCATGCCCCACCTTCCTGCTGCGGTGCGTGCTGAATTTTATTTTTATCGCGAGAAGGGTCCAGCCGTCTCTTTCCCTCGTCAACGGTGCTAACGTCGAAGTTTGGTACTCACGAGAGCTTGTCAGCTATATTTCGCTTTCACCCGCAAATTTCGTAATTTCTTCACCCCATGGGGATTCGAACTCACGACCTCTGCGACTAGCGGATTACGAGGATACCACTAGACCACCGGGGCGATCGGTGGTACCATGGCCGGGAATCATAACCATGGGAACAGAGCCAAGCACGGTAGAGTATGCCATGCCAAGATGGAACGGGGATGGGAATTCGAAGACGTGCATGCGTATCAAGAGAACAGGGGGCCGATCTCGTCGTGGTCACCGACTTGCAACGCCGCACTTATACGGCACTCAGTGCTTCGTGCTGGCAATATCAAGCGGGTTGGTATGTGATGCGTCTGCCAAAAGGCGCGCGCTGAATATATGGTATGATCTGGCGTACTGTTATCCACGACGGGCAGCATGCTGCGCCGTTCTCCGACATCATAACTTCGCAAAACCTCACACCTCAACCCACAAAACAACGAGATGAGGAGGGAACCACCCTTGATTCGCAACTAATCACGCACGAGGAATGGTACCCAGCCACACAGTGGCAGGAACAGTAGAGCCAGCAGCAGCAGCAGCAACAGCATTAACACAAACAAACTGCTGTTACTCTTCTATGGCACACGGAGGAGGGCGCCGGTATTGTACCAAAAACACGGCACGGCCAAATCAGCACGAAACCTTTCAACAGTCCATCACCACCACCACCACCCACCCTGCCACCCCTCTCGACGATCTTGCGCGCTTCGTAGGCCTTCTTCTCCTTCCCCGTGAACTGTTCTGAACCGAGGTCCGTCACCGCCTTCCAGATCTGCTGGTAGTCGCGCTCCCAAGAAGGCGCCCTAGGGCGCTTTCGCCCTCCTCCTCCTCCTCCTGCTGCTGCTGCCGCTCCGTCATAGCGCTTAGTGACGTCGCCACCGTCAACACGGGCCTTTTTCCTGGGCTTCGGACGGTTCTTTTCCTGCGCAGGGCGGGCGGTGGGCGATATGTGCAAGGATACGGACAAAAGGTTGATTTGGGCGGCGAAAGTGGCGGAAGTTTTCCGTTTGTTGCGGCACGTAAACTGTGCTGCTAAGGTTCGCGCCCAGGGAAAAATAAATATTTTCCGATTTCTCGACATCCAGGTTCGATTCTTCGGCACGCCCTGTTAGGATTTTGCTGGCCCATCGTGTGATGTCGATCATCCGTGCGATCTCATTGCGGTAGAGGAGCAGAAATCCGTCGGTGTGCAAACATCTCTGTTCTTCTCGATGACCCGTCATGCGCAGCGCCCTCACTGCAACGTTGGGGGTGGGGGCAGCTAGGTTCGGCGACAAAACTTTGTTCTTTTTCTAGCCCCGGCAGATAACGCAACCCCTCTCTCTACCTACTAGTACAGACACAGGCCATGGTCGAATGCATGGCAGTGTGAGACAAGGCCAGCACTACTTTCGGTCGACCGTTTCCTTTCTTCTGCTGCGGGATACCGGGGAGCGACGACAGTCGCTGGTATAGTAATACCGAGGGCCCCCGTCTGTGGATGCCGAGATTGCGCCGGCAGACCCGGGAAGGCCATGCAACCAAACACTCTCGAGCAACACCTCGTCCAATGGTACACCCCAGAACAGCAGTCATGAAGACGCTACACACATGTTCTTCAGCGTTCATCACTACACTGTTTGACTGCTGTAGCAGCTCCACGCGATTGGGGTCGGTGGTCCCAAGCGCTCAGTACATGTGTGACGAGGGTAAAAGTTACTGGTGACGGCAGGGATTCAGCCGAAAACCGGCACAGGTGCCTTGAGCCTGGAGACGTTCTCGCACAACAGGGTGTCTTGATGTCTTGCCTGCAGCCAAGCAGTGGCTCCTGGCTTTGTGTTTCCCCCGCCGGAGACGGTAACAGTCAGTCGAATACGCCCTGCTTATCACCCAAATCCTGCTGTCCTTTCAAATCCACTGATGCTGCACCGTTTAACATGAGTTGATGTGAAAGGGTAGAAGCATTTCGTTCATGAGCAGAGCATACGCGAGAGGCTGTTAAGCAGGCAGCGTGAGAGGAAGCACAGAGACGGGAGACAGGAAAGGAGTCCAGCCCTCGTGAAAGGGATAGATCCTGCTGTGTGCGAAAATGTCTGAAGGCATCTACAACAGCAGTTACCGGTTTTCTGCTGAAGTACTCCTAGTGGCTAGCGGTCTCCCTCCCTCTCTCTCTCTCTCTCTCTCTCTCTCTCTCGATCTGTCTGTCTGTTTCTTGTGTCTGTCTCGCTCTTGCCGTCTGTTGTGAATGGTGGACCGTGCACGGCGTCAAACTGCCCCTCTCACTTTCAAGTTTTGCGCTGAGGAATACGCGCCGGGGGCCTCAACGACTTGGACACCGCCAGCAGACGTTGAAAAGCCATGTCCTTTCCTTGCTCTTGCAGGCATCCTTCTGTCTGGAGGCAGCGCAGTGCAATAGCGTCGGCGGCGTGAAGTTGGTTGCTTTTCGGAGATCGATAATCGGAGATCGCAGTGTGGGTTGTCGACAAGTTCTAATGGCATTTTTTTCGTTCAGCAAAGAGAACCTGCCGCACTTCGACTTGTTTTTTGCACCGCTGCGTGCTGCTAGTGGCTCTCCTGACGCACCTCTGTTACTCTCTCTGCACTGCAGCCCGTCCAGTCTGCCGTGTGAAACAGACCTCTTGTAGCCATGAGAGATTTTCCAAGTGCAGGGCGGAGGGATTCAATACACCGCGGTACTGTCAACAGCAGGACCGCCGGGAGTCAAGATGCATTGGTGTCTCCAGCAACTGCAACAACGGCGGGAGCACCGCACACGCGGCGGCGCCGGCGAACCTGTTTCCTGTTCCTGGCCGTGTTGTACTGTAACTTTGGCAGCAAGAGCGGAAACGACGTCCACGCTCTTGTCATGCCATGCCCCCAGCACAGGTCGTCGCTTGCCTCCTCAACAGCGTCAAGCTTCTCCTCATCATGTCGGGTCCGACCTCAAACCTCAACCCTCGGTAGCAGCAGCGGCTCTCCCGGTGCTGCTGCTGCTGCTGCTGCTGCTCCTGGAGCCCGCGTGGCACCGCCAGCAACCCTCTTAGCCATGCAGCAAACCGGCGGGAATTGGGAAGAATACTTCGGTGGTGGTGGTGGTGGTGGTGGTGGTGGTGGTGGTGGGCGGGGGGAGCGTAGGGGGCGGGATCAAGGCTCTGGGGCAGCGACAGGCAGCAGAGAACGAGGACGTGGCCGGGGAAGGGGAGGTGGGCGTGAATGGGCAGTCGAAAGAGGCGGTGGTGGCGGCGGAGGGCGTGATGGTGGCGGCCGCGGTGGATGGGGCAGTTCAGGAGGAAGAGGAGGAAGAGGGCGCCAGTACGACAACGGTGGCGGTGGCAGGGGCAGGGGTGGTGGCAGAAGCGCGTTCGGGCGTGGGCGTGGTAGTGGTGGAGGAAGAGGCGCCAGCAGCGCGTACAGCGATGGTCCTGGTCGATACTCAGGCAGAGGGGGCGGGGGGATCGGCACTCGGAGCGGCCGAGGGCGCGGCAGAGCGTCGGCTGGCTGGAACGATGGCCCGGGTTACAACATGGACGACTTCGAGCTGGTGGAGGAAGGCACCGGTGACGATGGCACCTGGGACGATTATAGCGACTACAGCGACGACCCTGGGCTGTACAAGAAGCCCCGCGGCGCCGACACCGCCTACGTTGAGGACCTTGGTACCGAGCTCAAGGTGACTGCTGCTATCTTGTGGTGTTACGTCCCAGGATGCCTGCGTATGATTCCGGCGGGCTTCTTGAAGTTCCGTCAAGAGAAGTGTATGCGCGCATGTGTTCCATTCACCACCAACCAGTCATGTTGACATACGAAACAATACAGACCTTAGTTCACGCAGACACAGCACTAGGGTCGGCACAAGAGTTGAACCTTAATACCTGCGTGTATTTCTACCGGCAAGGCGGTAAAGAGTCTTGCCCCACACCACACTAGCACTGTGCAAACACCAGAGTACCTGGTGTAGATGACGCTTGGGGTGAGCGCCAGGGTCTGCCGTCAAGTCTTGTGCCAGACAACCCCAAGAGTCTGGTGGCAGCGTATATCTCTGTTAAAAAACTACATTTCCAAATATCGCGGAATCAAGAGTGCAGGCAAGTTGCCACCTTTTGTGTACCCGTAGACAGATATCTGTGCCAGTGTATGCGAAACGTGCTCGAGTCTCCCCCGTCATTTTCTCTCTCCAATTATGTCTTACAGAAATAGTAGCAGCTTTGGCCAACGACACTACGCGTATGGTGTCAGTCCAACCCAACCCTGCCTTCACCAGCAAAAAACCCTGTCCCACCGCTAATAACCAACGTCTTCTCTCCGTGTCCCATAGGTGATTACCAGAGGAGGCGGGGATGGTTTCTCCGCAGCCCCTGCAGCGAAAACCGTCTTCAGCGCCGACCCCAACCTCTCCCCGGTGTCCGGAGAGATGGGGGTAGGCCGCAGCCACAACCGCGAACGGCGCGCCGCCCGTCGGGAACAACGACGGCGGGAAGAGCGCGACAGCGAAAAGGGGCGGGGGGAGGGGGGGCGGCTATGGTCAGAAGATGAGGGTGCCGCCGATGCTGCTGCCGCTGCCGCTGCCGAGGCTGCGAAAGTGCGGGACGGAGCGCAGCTGCGGATAAAGCGCAGGGAAGAGAGGGAAAGGGCGGAGCGGGAACGCCAGGCGGAGTACTTCGCTTCCCTCGACGGTCAAGGCGGAGGTGCTGGTGCTGGTGCTGGTGCTGGTGCTAGCGATGGCGGGTTGGACGACATCTTTGGCGACTACTTCTCGCCGAAAAAGTCCTCGACGCCGCCCGCTTCTTCTACCGTCGCCCCCCAACCCAAGCAGGGGTTTGCCCAGAATCCTTCCTTGCCTGCGTCTACCTCAGGCTGGGACCAGCTCCCACCACCCGTGTCATCATCCACAAGCGGCAGCAAACGCCCCGAACGGCGGGACGACTACGGCAGCAACCTTCGAAGAAACCCCTCGGAGCGGGAAGCCGAGCGTGACGACGGGTGGGAGAGTTCCGGTGGCGGCGACTACGGCGGCGGGCGCAGGCGCGGGCAGGGGCGCGGAGGGCGTGACGGCGGTTTCCAAGACTTTTCGGAGCCGGTATCGGAGGGCCGGTTCGGCCGACAGGCTCAGCAGCAACAGGGAAGGCGCGGCAATGGGCGCGGGGGCGACGACTTGGGCCCTCGTGGGAGAGGGGGTGGAGGAAGGGGTTCCGCCGCGGCGGATTACGGCGGTGGCGGCGGGCGGGTGGTGGACAAGAGCATCTGGGACGCGGACCGGTGGGAGTCGACGGGATCGACGGCCTGGATCAATGCCGGGGAGGGGGACGGCAGCGCGGGTGGCGGTGGGAGTGGCGGGGGTTCCCTGCCGAGTTGGAAGGTACGACCGACAGTGAGGAAGACGTGTACGTATTTCCATCATTTCCTTTTGTCCCGCTGTGTTCGTGTGGTTGACGCGGGCCCGGTTGGATGTGCCCATTAACACGCTACGCTACAATGTCCTTCCTTTGTTCGAGAGAAGGAAATGCTATACAACAATGCGTTTTCCGCTGGCCTAGGTTTTCTTCTTGACGTCTGGTTAAACTTGCTTCGTTTATTTGATGATTTTGATGGTCGGTCGTCGAAGGCAGAGGGGGCATGAGTTATGCTTTTGTCGTCGATTTTAACACCGCCGAACGCGTTGGCGAAGAGTCCTCACCACGAACCTTCAACCCACACAGGAACCGCCAAAATAATTCCTGAACATGATTTTTTCCAGCGGCACCAATCTAAGCATGCGTTCTATTCAAAGCTCCCGCGAGGGACCGTTTACAGTGATTGCTCCGCGTTTTTTGTCGTGGTGTTCTTGCGAAAGGTCCCCAAGGCGAAACAAGAGACGGCGAAGGCGAACAGCGCGCCTGTTCCTGATTGGCTGCCGCGACAGGGAGGCCTCGGTTCGGAGTCTCGCCGGGGAGTTGCCCCGCTTCCCGAGGGCATCGACACGAGCGTCAAGAAGTAAGGCGGCATGATTGCTGTGTAGTCAAGAAGTAAGGCGGCATGATTCGTGTGTCGTCAACAAGTAAGACGGCTTGATAACTTTGTAGTCAACAAGTAAGGCGACTGATTCGTGTGTCGTCCAGAAGGAATGCGGCTTGATAACTGTGCCATCAAATAGTAAGGCGGTTTGATAACTGTGTCATGAAGAAGCAAGGCAGCATGATTACTGTGTAGTCAAGCAAGGCGGCTTGATCTTCGTGTCTTTGTGCAGACGGTAGTGCGTGTACCGGCGTGGGCGTGTGTACTTTTTTTTAGGCCAACTGCTCGGGGGCGTTTTTAGTTCATTCCGGGGGTATTTGTGTTGCTTTGTCCATGCGAAGGCAGTTGAGGCAGACTCCTGCCTGTGCGGAGCATGTGGTACGCGGGTAGACAAACGGCCGGAGTTGACGTGTTCTGAGGAGATATGCAGGACAGCAAGAAGTTTGAAACAGTGCATATTCGCATACGGTGCAGTTTTTTTTTTTATCATTGAAAATGCGAATAATAGATGAGGAGGGAGGAGAGAGGGAACGAGAGAGTTGGGCAGAGAAATAACGACTCGGGGAAGTGCTGATACATCTTACTCGAGGTAAGATGAGCATTTTTTTGAGTCGTTGTGGGCGATTTTTTTGTGCGAATCCAGACAGAAGGAATGTGCGTCCTATAAACAACGGTGTGAGGACCGAATTTGTCCAGACATTAGTATTTGAAACGTGTGTTGTGCGTGTTGATGTGCTGTTGCCCGTGCGTGCGGGACTGCTGTCAATGCTATGCTACACCAGGCTGGGGGTGAAGGGACTGGAGGCGATGCTGAAAGACAAGTTTTCCAAGATGAAGGATGGCGTGTTCACGGCCGAAGATGACGAAGCGTGAGTGCGTGTGATATCATTGCACACTTTGCTGTCGCGGCTGGAGCTGGTGATAATAGTGCTAGTGCTAGTGCTGGTGTTCGGTTGGTGCAAGTGACCCGACTGCTGCAGCTGCTTTTTTTCTGGTACTATTTTATGAAACGGAAGTACAACCGCCGTTGATTAAGCGCTTGGCTAGGCTACATGTTAGCACCGGATAGTGCTTTACGGCCATGCTGGGTAGCAGCCCCCCCCGTCCCCCCGTCCCCACCCCCACCTCCGCGTGTCCAGGAAAGGTTAAGGTTGAGGGTAAGGTTACGGTCTGGAGCGGAGACGTTACATAACGCATGACCCTCTTTCATTGATCGATGTCCAGTTGACCTCGGTTCAAGACTTGCAATTGATCGTGATGCCCCGAATCGTACCACGTTTCAGGCAGCGCTTGCCATACCCCCCCCCGACCTTCCTTTTCCTCATACGACATCGCTGCTATTGTAGCGAATTTTACGACCCCGATGATGAGGGCTTCGAGAAGCTGGTGGATGGCGAGCAGCTACCTCTTGTTGAATTGGAGGACGGTGTGGTTGGTAGCGTGGACGTCGGAGCGGCCGTGCAAGACTTCCGAGGTAGATACACATGGTGCATGATTTAACAACCCTGTGAGTGGGAGCCATACGTTTACCATGCTCTAAGTGCGCAAAAGGCCTCATTCGAAACAAACCACTCGTCAAGTCTACTCTACGCCAAGTATTGTAAGTTTGCTGTTTCAGCCTAATTCTTTGTAACATCCCCAACATCCCCAACAGGTGCCGTGCGGTACGACGACCCAAACGCCCCTCGTCCCAAGGGCCTGGGAGTGGTGGCTCGCTCAGAGGCCGAAGCAGCCGGAGGGGGGTTCCGGATGCGGTCTCCTTCTCGTGCCGCAGCAGCAGCAGCAGCAGCAACGGCAGCAGCAAAAGCAGCTACTACTGGCAGTACCGGGGGTGGTAGGGACGCGTCCCCTGCTGTGGAGGACTACGACGAAGACGGCAGCAGCGGCAACAAGTCGGTCTCGAGAAGCAAGGGGAGCCGTGGTGACGACGGCGGGGGTGGTGTTGGCGGGGACGACATCGCGGTTGGTCGGGGGGCGGCCGAGAGGGAGGACGTGGCCGTCGTGTCGGAGGAGCGGAAGCAGGAGCAGGATGGTGTCGCCGGGAAACTGGGCAAGAAAGACAAGACGAATAAATCGCAGGTGCATGGCAAGGAAGCGATCGATGGGTGGCACGGTTACGCGTGTGTTATTTGCAATAAATTATGTTGGAATCGTTGCCTTGTTTTCTTGTTTAGCATTTTGTTCGTGAATTGTGGTTGTTTCTAAGACAGCAGCGAGCGTGAACTGCCGGTAGGTAGATACATATCGTTACAGGTGGACTGCCATAGGTGATATACGGTACCCCCCCGACATCGCTGATTTCGACTGGTAGAGTAGAATCTTCACGGGGACGGCGGCGATATCCAGTACATGTATGGTGTAATAGTTTGCAGAAGCGGGGCTAGCCGGCCCGGCGCCGAAAGACGAGAGAAGGCGCTTCGCAGAAACATTGTACGGTATGCATAGAAACGTTTGTCACCGGTTCTGGATTGAGGTCTCACGCCCTTCCTCTGGCTGTAGAAGCTGAAACAGGGCTCCTTCGACCGGGGAAATAGCTCAAAATCGCCGCGTGTGCGTTTGTTTGTAGCGTCGACCGCGCTGACCGGCTAATCAATAAAACCACACCAGTCTCAGCGCGGCCAAAAACGTAGCATTATTCTCATGAGTGTGTCTGTGTTGTACTTGGACGTTTTTTGTTGCTCTGTTCACCGCTCGACAGGCAGTGGAGAAGAATAAGCCGACCTACACGGCGATCAACATCGCCGACATGGAGACCCTCGAGCAGCAGGCCTCGTTCTCCTTCCGAGACCTGGGCATCCAGGATCGGACCGTTCTCAAGAACATCAAGAAGCTGGGAATCGATTCCCCGACGGACGTCCAGGTTTCCGCGATCCGCGGGCTCTTGTCCGAAGACCGGGACGTGATCATCCACGCCCACACAGGTTCGGGCAAGACCCTGGCGTACCTGCTGCCGCTCATCGCGGCCACCGATCCCGACAGCAACGCCCTGCAGGTTCGTTCGTGGAAGCCCTCGCTCGCTTTTTTTTTTTTGTGGGTGTTATTGTTGTTGTTGTTGTTGTTGGTGTTGGTGGTAGTGGTAGTGGTAGTGGTAGTGGTAGTGGTAGTGGTAGTGGTAGTGGTAGTGGTAGTGGTAGTGGTAGTGGTAGTGGTGGGCGTCTGTTGTTGTTGTGGTAGATATTGTTGTTTTTGTGGTTTTTGCGTTACTGATGTTGGTGCTGCTGTCCGGTGGTTTTGTCGTCATTGGTCCTTACGTGTGGCAACGGCAACGGCAACTTCTTCCGTCGCATTCGCATCCATTTCGCCGTCTCCTCTTCACCCCGCTCGGTCTTTTCTGCCCCCCGAAACCTCTACGACGCCCGAAACTGGTGTCATCACCGCGTATTATATCTCTACAGCATATAATACAGGGCCTAAATTTTCTTTGTGTTTTTCTTCTTTCTGTGGTGCCTTCAGGCGATCGTGGTGGCCCCAGGCAGAGAACTGGCCAGCCAAATCTTCTCCGTGTGCGAGAAACTTATCCAAGGGACCGGCCTCCGTAGCACCATGGTCATCGGGGGTGCCAACGCCCTGAGGCAGGTAGAGAGGATCAAGAAGGTGAAGCCGCAGGTGAGAATGGAGAGCCGTGATTGGCTAAACGGCATATACTTGTCTTTTTTTTTCAGATCGGGGCTACTTTTCTCGCAGCTTTCGCTGCTACGGCAAGGGTCCAGCTGCAGATGTTAAATGAATGATGGAATGGTCGATCGGAGAAGAAGTGTGATGGACGAAAGGCAGGTGTTTGCCTTCTTGTCTGGCAATCAGTCTGCCGGAGGTCACAGAAGGAGGAAGCTTGCGCAGTCTGGTGTTTGATCTGTGAACGCTGACACACGGCTTTGTTTTTGCGGTGGTTCTTTTTTGACATTTTGTCATCTTGTTGCAGTTGTAGTAGTTGTTGTTGTCGCTTCTGCTATTATGTTGTTTTTGTGACTGACTCTTGTCGCCTGCGGCGTTTCCGGTCTATGTCGTCATGTCATGATTGGCCAATCAAAGTTGTACAAATCTTGCCTCCCTCGGCTCACACGTTGGTTCCATAACTATTTTCTATTTTTACTAACATGGATTGGATGCAGTTATTATTACAGCTTTTAAGCCTCTCCTGTTTTGTAGTTTTTCGTTGCGGCAGGTGACCATTCGTCGCGCTGTCCTTATGTAGCCACCACCTCATCCATCGCTTTCTTCCTTGCACTTTGTTGTTGTTGGCCTTAAATTGCCTTGCCTTGCCTTGCCTTGCAGATCGTCATCGCCACCCCCGGTCGCCTGTGCGAGTTGGTGTTCGACCGCCGGAGGATGAAGCTGGGCATGGTCAGAACGGTCGTCTTGGACGAGGTGGACGCGCTGCTGAGGCCCCCGTACGACCAAGAGATAGACGCCATCATGGATGCAACTCCCGGAGGTGATGGCTTTTGTGCTTGTTGCCGTTCTTGTCGCCGCCGCCACCGCTATGTTTTGCAAAATAACGCGTCTGATTGAAGGTTGAACTTGGTACAAACCTGAAACCCCAGTTGAGGCTTGGATAAACACGGCTTGAGGCCCGAGCGTCCACACGGCAAACACGGGGGCAATATGCACAGCAGGACCGTAAACAACGTTGATGGCTAGTTCATGTTGAAGCGTCACAACGCAGTCTTCGCTGCTGACCACTCCCAAATGACGGGGTACAAGTGAGGACTAGTTTGGTGGGCAGTGGTATTGAGACAGTAGCAACAGCAGCAGCAGCAGCAGCAGCAGCAACGGCAACAGCAACAACGGCTCTCTAAATGGCTCTCTCTCTCTCCCTCGCGTTGGCCTTTCAGGGAGGCGGCAGGCGGTGTTCGCGTCTGCAACCGGCCGTTCGCCGGTAGTCTCCGCAGCCTCTGAGCGTTACATGAGGAAGGAACCGCTGTTTGTCGGTGGAGGTGATTTGGGTGTCGGGAGCGGTCAGCGGAGGGGCGGTCTGCCCTCCAACATCCGGCACACGATCCTCACCATGCCCAAGGTGTGTTGACGGCGGTGTGAGAGAAGGAAGCTACACAGCCACAGCAAGAAGCCCGCTTGTGGAAGGGGGGGGGGGGNCAAAGCCGGGACGGAGCACGCCGGGTTCTCACCGGACCAGGCTCTCACATCACCAAGCGCGAAGCGCCGTGAGATATTCGGCGAGTCGCATGAAGGGTGCGCTGCATCCTGCTAAGGGTTTTCGGCATCTTGTGCTTACTTCCTCGCGTCCGGATGACAGCTGCGTATGAATACATTTATTTTCTGGTGCTTTCACATCCAGAGACAGTTG